ATCAAATGAAAGCCCTCATTATAAGGTGGGCTGAATTACAGCAAAAATTCAAGTCCCAGCCTCAGAGGGTTTCACTAATTAAAGTAAGGGCACTGACTGGTAAAGAACAGGATCCTGTAACTTGGAATGACATGTGGGAGGACCCTATTGAAGCTGAGGACTTTGAACCCTAAGATTCTCAAGGATTTACCTCACCTGAAAAAGCAGTACCCTCAGCCTGACCCCTTAAGTATTGCCTTTTTCACCTGTGACTGAGGACATTAATTCTTAATTGTCTGCTAAGCCAGTAGTGATTTTCTCAGAAGAAATGCCAGGCAAGACAGCGCTAATGTCCCTCAAGGCCCACCAATAGTTGCTGCTAGACCAGTAATCAGACTCTAGGCAAAGTAGGCTTCTAAAGGGGAGGTAGAAAGTGTAGTCCATGAGAAGGAGCACTACATGACTAGACAGCTTAAAGAGTTTGCTAATTCATTTAAGCAGAAGTCTGGGGAATCTGTGTGGGAATGGTTTTTAAGGGTGTGGCATAATGACAGAAGTAACAAAACTGAATCGGGCTGAGTTTATTGATATGGACTCACTGAGTGGGAATTCTAGGTTTAATATGAAAGCCCACACAGTTCAAAAGCCTGTCAAAAGTTGGTTTAACCTGTTGGCCAAAGCATATGTCAAAAGAGGGCCTACTAAAAAGGAGTTCAAGATGCCTGATAGCCCTTAGTATTGATGAAGGGATTTTAAGGCTCAGGGAAATTGAAACACTAGAGAGTATACTGTGTAAAACCTAATCTTCCACAGCCAGGCAGGTAGGCACACGCCTTTAATCCCAGCACTAGGGTGATAGAGACAAGTGGATCCCTGTGAGTTCAAAGCCAGTTTGTTACAGCCATAGCTCTGTAACAGAGAAACCCTATGGCAAAAAACCAAAACCAAACAAAACCACAATAGGAAGGCCCAAAAGATGTGGCTTTTACTAATCTTTATTTTATTTTTGGTAGAGGTTTCTCAGTGTAGCCCTGACTATCCTGGAATTCACTCTGTAGACCAACTGGCTTCAAACTCACAGAGATCCACCTGTCTCTGCCTCCTGAGCGCCGGGAGTAAAGGCATGTGCCAGCAGTGACACAACTACTAACTCTACAAGACACAGAATGATGAGAAGGGCACCAGTGCATCTGAGGAGACTTGTTGCCACCTTTCTGTTGGGCCAGACTTTGGGACTGTAGACACTGGTGCTCAGTTGAATGAATTAAATGCAGTGGGTTTAATTGGTCACTCAGGGTAGCAGGGGCCAGGTGGCAGCACTGAATAGCCAATGGCAAAGTGATCCTTGTAATTGTAATGGACAGCACAGATAAAATAATGTCAATAATGACTTAACCCAGTGGTTCTCAATCTTCCTAATGCTTTAAACAACACATTGTGGTGACCCCCCAACCATAAAATTATTTTCATTTATACTCCCTAACTGTAATTTTGCTACTGCTATGAATCATAATGTAAATATCTGGTATGCAGCCCCTATAAAAGGTTCATTTGACCCCTAAGAGATCAAGACTCACAGGTAGATAACTGCTGGATCCTAACTTGCAATGGTAAATGTTGGTCCTCCTCGCATGGGTGAGGACAGGGGTTCCAGGCCAAGGGGTTGAGAGGTGTGGGGTCATCACACAGACACCCAGGGCGAGTGGCTGCAGACTCATTTATTCCAGAAGTAGACAGGCAGAAAACATGTGACCTGATACTGGAGAGTCTGCCCAGAGACAACCAACCAATGGCAGGCCTGGAGATGGTGTGGAGGAACCTGATTGGTTGCCCAGAGCCATATAACCTGCTCTCTCTTCCAGAAAAAACAACCAGACACTGATTACAGAAGATCTCACCAAACATTATGGCCCTCTAGTTAAAGCAAGAACACATGGAGGTCAGGTGATTAATGGAGTTTTGATTAAAGTCTGACTCATAATAGGTTCAATGAGTCCCAGAACCATTCTGTGTTAATTTCTCTAGTCCCACAATGTATTATTGGGGTAGATATACTTAGAAATTGGCAGAATTCTCACATTGGTTCCTTGACCTGGGGAATGGTGGCTATTATGGTTGGAAAGGCTAAACGGAAACCTTTAGAGTTGCCTTCACCAAGAGAAATAGGGAATCAAGATCAGTATCACAATCCCTAAAGGAATTTTAGAAATTAGTGCCACCATCAAGGACACGAAAGATTCAGGGGTGGTGGTTCCCACCACATCTCCGTTTAACTACTGTCTGGCCAGTGCAGAAGACAGGTGGATCATGGGAAAAGACAATCAAGTTGGGACTGTGATTGCAGCTACCGTACCAGATGTGGTGTCCTTATTGGAGCAGATGAACACATCTCCTGATACATGGTAGGCAGCTCTTGATCTAGCAAATGCCTTTTTTTCAGTATTTGTCCATAAGGGCCACTAGAAGCAATTTGCTGGCAAGGCCAGCAGTATTCCTGTACAGTTTTGCCTCAGAGACAAATTAATTCTCTTGCCCTGTGTCATAACTTAGAAAGGACCTTGATTGTCTGTCTCTCCCACAAAATTCACACTGATGCACGATATTGATGGCATTATGCTGGTTGGAACAAGTGAGCAGGAGATAGCAACCACTTTTGACTGATTAGCAACACATACACACATCAGAGGGTGTAAAATGAAGGCAACCAAAATTCAAGGGCTTCTACCTCTCCGCTGTGGCACATGCGGAGATATTCCTTCAGGCCAGAGGCTATAAAATTGTGGAATGAAAATCACAGTGCCAGTGATGAGAAACCCTTTTGTAAGTTGTCAGCCAGTGAGGCCCAATGGCCACAGGATTTACCCTTTCTCTGTTAACGTTCTTACCTTTTGTTTATATTCTTTTGGAACTTGTAAGTAAGGCATTTGTGACTCTTTGTGTGTGTTTGTGTGTGTATGTACGTGTGTATATGCCTGTGCATGTATGTGTGTAGGCCATTACTACGGAATTAATTGTTTTTTAGTGAAATTGTGTTCTCTTGATTTTCATGTTTACTGTAGTTTTGCATTAGAGCGTCTTTATTTTGGGTTAAATCAATGTTTGGTTTGTTTTGTTTTGTTATCACATTGCTTTTTTTCAAATGGAATAGTTTGCAATTCTCAGGTTGTAGTAGGGTTGAAGTTTTGGTTAGTTCTTCTCCATAATGTTTGAGCCACCAGGTTAAATGCAAAATAGTGTCTGTAAAAATAATCACTATTCATGGCTAAGCCGACTATGAAAATACACTGAAATAAAAGATATATAGTGAAACAAAACAAAAACAAACCACTTTAGAAAATGTAGGAATAATATGACTTCTTTTTGCACAAGTGTATCAGTTACATTATGATGAGAATGAAAAAAAGGCATTTGCTTGATCAATGAGCATGAGTAGAAAGGAAAAGTAAAGGTGACGATCATTTCTATCTTGATGACAAGCAGTAGGTAGGGGAAAATAAATCCAAGGGGACAGTAGGAACATGAAAGTGGAGAGGAGTTTTTGTTTGTTTGTTTGTTTGTTTGTTTAGCAGAAGGATGAGTAAAGAAATGTAACCAGAGAACCTAAGGCAGCCCCAGCCATTAGGAGGCTGAGACCAGAAGCCCTGACAACCAGGCCAGGCTGCATTCTTTGGGCAAGCCTCTGAAAAACAAAATAAGGAAGGAATAGAGAAAAGGAGTAGAAGGAAAGAGGTAAAAAGAGAAGACAGAAGACAGGAGACAAAGCTGTCAGTGGATATTAAATATGGTCTTTATAAATGTGAAGGAGAGAGAGAGGAGGATGAGCGTCTGAAGTGCAAAGAGGGGGGGGTCTGGAGAGCTGTCTTCATGGTTTAGAGCGAATATTGTTTTGTAAAGCACCCAAATTCTGTACCAGCACCCATGTCCAACAGCTTATAATTGCTTATAACTTCATCTCCGGGGATCCAGTGCCCTCTTCTGGCCTCCGTGGGTTCCTGTACATATGTGGCAGGCACACAGATGTACAAACACATTTTAAAAAGTAATAAATTCTTAAACAAAATCTACAGATGCCACCTAGTCAGCTTGCTGGCTGCACTGTCGTCTGTCAGCTTCCTTATCTACCCTCCTGTCTTTCGAAAGGATCACTTCAAATCCCTGTCTACCAGCTCTGCAGACCCTTTCCCAAGCCTGCACATTCTTCACCGGTCTCTCGCCAGGAATCTCCTAGCTGCTCCTCACCACCCAGAGCAGCCTTTCAAATCTGATCGTCTCCTCTCCTCAAGGCTTCCTTTCTAACTTCTACGGTTTCTCTGTGAACTTAGTTCTCCCACCCCAATCAGGCTGCTGGTCCCGAAAGCAGGAATGACTCCCCCGGAAGCCATCAATGGAGTTTTCCAGGCTTACGTGTTAAGCCTGGTGTTCCTGGGACCTGTCCAAACCTCCCGCTTCCTGAAGTGTGTCTCTCCATTCCCAAAATGTTTTTCTATAGAAATGACTGTGTGAGAGCTCAACAGCGGTGGGGTGGGTTCAGGAGAGACTTTCAAAAGAGTAAACAGCATGGGTGAATCCCCAGCCGGAGACCCTGGTGACAACCATCGACTGCAAAAGGACAGGGAACATTAGCAGCTGAACAGGCATAATTCACATCACGCTTTTCTGTGCCATCTCTCGCGCATGCACAAAGAATTTAGCTGACATCTTCGCCTCGTTGCAGACTTTTACCCGCTATTTTTAATTCCATGTATTCACCCCTTTCGTATGTAAAGCCAGAAGTAGAGTTTGGGACTCTCACGGCCAGGGTAGACTCCAGGTAAGGCTTTCGCCCGGATTTGAGATTTGGCGCCACAGTACAGGCTGGAGGGTCTTTTTCCTGTCATTTAAGCGCTCGGAGGCGTGCACGTGACTCGCTGGCCAATAAGAAAAGTTGCCTGGCTGCACAAGCCGTCCAATGGGGCTGCGAGATGTTGGGAGAGGGCAGGTACAGCCAGGGGGATGCCACTTCCCGTCCAGCCATCTTAGGCGATTGTGTCTTCTGTGGAAAGAGGCCCGCCGCTTGTTTCCCGAGCGCCTGCGTCCCATCCGCCGCTTGCACGAGCCGCCGGAGACGAGCCGGACCCCCGGGGACTGGAAATGGTGCGTGCGGCCTGGCGTCCGGGGTGTGGGAGGAGGCGGCCGGAAGTGGAGGCGACCGGGACGCGGCCTCCCCGGGCGGCTGAGGCTGCGTCTCCTGGCTCGGCTGGGCCGCGCCGCCCGGGCCCCGCTGGGTGGAGCTGGGCCAGCGGGCAGGGCCGAGCGGGCAGGGCCGCGCTCCTGCCCCTCGCTGAGCGCTCCGAGCTGCGGCCATGGCCTGCGTGGGCCTCCGGGCGCCCGCAGCGTCGCCTCTCCGCAGCCTGGGCGGTGGCGGCGGCGTCGTGGTGAGATCCGGGACCCTGGGGCTCGGTGTGAGTGTGTGTGTTTGGGGAGGGGGCAGGGAAGCCGCAGGGTGTGGTGACCTTGGGTCCTGAACGTGTTGTCATAAATAGGGGGACGGATTTTTGTGTTTGCAGTGCCAGAATTTATCGAATAATTAATAATTTTACGAGTTATGTCTGTTTCGTTAACAATTAGTCAAGTGTGCCCGATTTTGCCATCCAGCTGTTGGCAAACACGGGTTCTTACATAAGAATATAGTTACTAACATTAACCGGCAGATCACATATGAACATTTTATATATATATAAAGATATACAAATGTGCAGGTCACAGAATGGCCAAGAAGTAAAGTGGTTGAGTTTAGAGTCTGTTCTGAGCTGAGACAGGTGCAAAGAAAAATCTGTAGGGGACCAAAAATGGTGTCCTAGCAGCGAAGGCTCAGAGATGTCAAATGTACATGCAGCAAGCGCGCAGTAAGTCGGTTTCAAGTTGGCTGACTGTCCTGGGCAGGAGAAACCGCACTGGAGCCAGAGCCCAAGGACTGACTCAGGAGTTCTTCCCTGTGGGTAAGTGTGACAGTTGCCTGCCATATTTTGGTCTTGGAGTGCTCCGTAATAGCCCCAGGTGAGGGGTTTACGTATGGTATGATTTGTGTGGCGATTCTAGTGCGATTTGGTGTAGTTTCGGGTGTGATAATTGATATTGTCACTTTGTCCCTCCTAGTGTTCCGGCAGATCGGGGTTGTCGGCCTGTAAACAGGCTGTCCTGCTCTTCTCTTCTTGGCTCTTAAACTTGGAGCAACTCTGGGCAAGCTTGTTACTTGATCAAATGGGATCACCCCAGCTTGACACTGTTGGAAAGAAGATATTCCCTACAGTGTGGAGCATCCCTGAGCAGCTGCCCTCTCTTCCTCAGTGGCACCTGCTTTTCTACGAGTCTCACAGATTCAGGGGCAGCTGCCTGTAAGTTCCATGACCTCCGCCCGAAGTCAGTGGATCTTGGCACCAGCCATAAGCGCTGAATTTCTGCCTTTCTCTGATTGATATTCCCAAATTCATTGGAAAGGAATATCCGCATACATGGTGGCTGGAATTGGGCACTGTCAAAATTGTGACCGCCCTCAGATGTTTCCAGGCATTGCTTTTCAAGTTTTAGTTATGTATTACTATGGAGAAGTATGTTCTTTCCTTTAGATGGCTTCCCAGGATTGAACTCATGACACTAGGCCCCTGCAGCAAGTGCCATTACCTACTGAGCCATTTTTCTATTCTCTACACTTTATTTTAGAAGTCAGAGTCCTGATAGAGATAGGCCTTACTGTATGTGAGTGGGATGTTGCATTAGGAGAAACTCCTAAATGTTAGGTCTATAAAGTTCCCAACGGTTACCCTGAACAGGGCTTTTCTAATGCTTGGAGAGGACAGGAGTAAGCAAGTGTATACACAAGTTAACAGAAGGCCCTAGGATCTGGTGTGGTCGTGTACTGGGCACAGTTAGATCTTATTAGAGCTCATAATTCTTCTCCTTATACAAGCTGGCTGCTTTGTCTAGGCCATTTGCCAGCTTCTGTTACCTACCTAGAATATGCATTCATTAGTCACTTGGGCCCAGGGTGGAAGGCTGCTGCCAATGATTGTCAGTTAGGCCAGCACACCCCCACTCAGCAGCCAATGTGAGTGGCTGCTGAAAGAAGAGAATCCAGCCACTGCTTAGGAAGTACCATTTCTAGCAACCCCCTTCCTCACAGACACTGTCATCCAACCTTTACTAAGACGTCTGCATTGCGAGCTAAGAAACTTCCAGGTGCTAGGATTTCTCACCTGGAGAAGTGGGCTTACATCAGAGTGGGTTCTAGTGGCCACATGTCCTGCTCCCCACTCTCCGTACCACCCGAATGCTCCCCTGCCTCCTGCCTCGTAATCTGAGAGTCTGCAGCCTGGCTCCTGTTTTGAAACCAATTCTGTCCCCAGAATTGCTCTTCCATCCCCAGAGCATCTCTTCAGGCTAGTCCACAGCCCTCTCTTTAGAGCTGAGGCCATGCTGCTGCCTCTCTGTCTGCTCCACAGACCCTCATGGAAATGTTCCCTTTTGGTCGCCTTACAGAATGAGAACTGAGATGATGATCAGCTAGAAAACAGACCAGACCAACCCTGACCATGACTGTTACTGTGTGCATCTTGTGTTTTGTCTTAATCCTTTCTTTTCTAAATTACTCCTGTTTTTCTTTAATAGAAGTATGTGCCAGGTCCCAAAAGCCAGATCTGGTATTATCAGACCCTTTCATTTGTTCTCCCTGGCATAGCCAGTTTGACTTATAGAACTGTTGTTCTTTCACTCTCGTTACTGTGTCGCTTATTGGCATATCAGGACTACTGGTCCAGTATAATCTGTCATGATTGCCAGAATTAGGATGTTGATTTTAAATTGTTTAGTTACGTTATTAACTAGGAAATATTTGGACTAATTGAACTGGCTTAATTTATGTGAGTACTAATTCATCCTATGAGCCAATTTGTTGTCATATATGTGATATGAAGACATAAGTGTGTGTAGATGGTATTTATGCTCATATAGCCATACACAGATTGAATAGAGAATATTATAGCATTGATTTCTAGTTATCATTTGTTAGTCATAAGCTAAAATGTTAATTATTGATTTATTTTTCTGTGTGTGTATATGAATGTCTACTAAGCATGTCTAGAGTGGGGCATGGTGGTGCACACCTGTAATTCCAGCAGAGGCAGGTGGATTTCTGTGAGTTCGAGGCCAGCCTGGTCTGCAAAGCAAGTCCAGGACAACCAAGCTACATAGAGAAACCCTGTCTCCAAAAAACAGAAACAAACAAACCATGTCTAGGTGCTCAAGAAGGTCAGAAGGAGTGTTAGAGTCTCTGGAGCTGAAGATCCAGGTGGTTGTGAGGTACCTGACTTGGGTGTTGGGAGGCAGATGGGTAATCTGGAAGATCATGAAGGACTCTTAACAGCTCAGCCAATTCTTAAGTGTATTTTTTTCCTGTCATTATTAAACGGTAGTCCCAAAAGCCATACTTTTTTTTAATTTATTTTTTTATTAATTGCAGTTTATTCACTTTGTATCTCAGCTGTACCCCCTCCCTCCCTCATCTCCTTCCATGCCCCTCCCCAAGTCCACTGATAGGAGGAGGTCCTCCTTCCCTTCCATCTGACCCCAGCCTATCAGGTCTCATCAGGACCTACTGCATTGTCTTCCTCTGTGGCCTGGTAAGGCTCCTCCCCTGTCAGTGGGAGGTGATCAAAGAGCAGGCCAGTCAGTTCATGTCAGAGACAGTCCCTCTTCCCATTACTAGGAAACACACTTGAGCTGCCTTGGGCTACATCTGTGCAGGGGTTCTAGGTTATCTCCATGCATGGTCCTTGGTTGGAGTATCAGTCTCAGAAAAGACCATTGTGCCCAGATTGTTGCTCTCCTTGTAGATGTCCCCTCCAGGTCTTTCATCTCTCCCTTCTTTCATAAGATTCCTTCTATTCTGCGCAAAGTTTGGCTATAAGTCTCAGCATCTGAAAAGCTGTACTTTTATAAGTATGGCTTTAGATGTAAACAACATAAAAAAATTAAGTCCTTTTAAAAATTTATATATATGTGTGTGTGTGTGTATATATATATATATATATATTTTTTTTTCCTCTGAAAATGCTTACCATTTATTTGGTGTATTTGGGTTAAATCCATCCCATAATCCCACCCTCCCAGTCTCCTCCCAGACCTACTACACTATACCTGCCTCCCAGCTTCGTGTTCTCTTTCTGTAACCTACGGAGTCTAATTGCGTTTCCAATGTGTTCATGGGTGTGGGCTCATCCACTGAAGCATTGGCGACTGAACAGGGACAGCATCTTAGGAAAGCTAATTCTCCCTCCTCCATGTTATCTGCTCCCCGGTTACTCTGAAATTTTGACTGGTTTCATCTTGTTCTGTTCTATGCAAGCAGCCCAGCTGCTCTGAGTTCATGGGGGCAGCAGCCCTGTCAAGTCTGGAAAACGTGATTTCCAGTGGTCCTCGATGACCTCTGATTCCCACACTGTTTCCTCCCCCTCTTCCATAATGATCTTGAGCCTTGTGGGAACAGGATGTAATATAGAGGTCTCATTTAGAGCTGAGCTCTCCACAGTCACTTCTCTGCATTTTGATCAATCGTGGGTCTCAGTATTAACTTCAAGGAGAGACAGGCTTCTTTGATGAGGGTTGACAGCAGCCTAATCTATTGGTCCAACTCTAAGTATTTAGAAGGCAGTTTGATACTTTGTCCATTAGCAGAATAATGCATTAAGTTCTCCCTTAAGGCCTATGGCCTAGGCAGCTGTGGGGTTTTGGTCCAGTTAACAGTACCAGCTATAGGTCCCATCATGGGGAGCAGGCTGTGACTTCAATCAGAAAGTGGTTGGTTGCCAGTGGGCGTGTCTTGCCCGGCAAGTCATTCTCTTATAGGCTGGGAGAGTTCACTGCACCTTTGGCATTGCGAGAGCTAGCCAACAGGGTAAGATTCCATATGAGTGCCAGCTTGATATCTTCGTGTCTGGTGGCTCAAGCATGAGGTGTCTTCAGCAAAAGGGTGTCAACATCTGGTTCTGAATAACCAAGAGTTATAGGCTGTATTGGAAAATTTAAATCTTGAGGACAGAGTCTCCCCTGATCTCTAAGCAGGCAATTTTAACATGAAATTGGTTTAAAATACCTTGGTT